AGATGTTGGAGAGGCCAAAATATGGAGGAGCAAAGTTTGCTTGCTTGCTTGCTTGGTTTTAATACTTTTTACATTTTCTTTGGGGGGTGATGTAAGGATGAAGGGCAGTTATGGAGGGAATGACTGGGAAATGAGTGGAATAGGGGTGCATGATGTGAAATTCCAGAAGAACCAATAGAATATTTGTGTTAAAAAATGTGTGCATAATGAATTTGTTGTTAGTGAATCAACAATAAACACTAGACACAGTGTCTCTGAGCAGAAACACAGGATAAGGACTTAGTCCAGGCTCAGTGGGAACTGTGATAAGAGGCAAAATACAGCCTCAGACAGCAGAGATGACCCAGGATTTGCTAGTTCAGAACCTCACAGCAGATTAATGTGAACTGTGAGAATCAAGTACAGGCTTTGTTTGAAAGCTTTCAGCTCTGTTTATTAAAGTTTATCCTCCTGAGACTGACATTCAAGGCCCATACCTTTGTGCCCTGAACTAATTCTTTGCCTTCAAACTTCCATGTGAAGTGTAGCTACACTGGAAAAGCCTTTGGTTCGGCACAGGACCCTGCAGAAAGCATACACTTGTGTCCCAAGAGAAAGGTCTGAGCTGAAAGGCCCATCTTCCTCAGGCGTGGGGGAACACATTTGCCCTTTAAATTCTCTTGGCAGCGAGCTCTCAGAGTCCATTGTTTCTAGAAAACTGTTTTGTAGTTACCACATTAGTGACTTCATACGCAACCCCGAAGCCAAGTCAGGCTGTGTTTACTTCCTTCAGTGAGTTCCTGGCTCGGAGGAGGGGTTTGCACACGGCACTAACCTCAGCTCTGACATTCTCCCAAAGCAGGAGATTGTTCCAGGATGCAAAACCACACAGTGACACATCAGAGAGAGGCACGGGTAGGAGGGCGCAAACCTTTTAGCCAGTCTGCAGATATTTGGGGCATTAAGAATTGCAGATCAGTCAAGCATGTGATACACTTCTACAAATCCCAGCCCGATGCAGGAGCCTTGCTGTGTGTTCAGTGGTGGCATTGGTTACATGGTGAGTAGCAAGTTAGACAAAGATATACAGTGAGACCCTTCCTCAAAAATCCAGGAAGGAAGGATAAAGAAAACAAAAGAATGACAGATAAGGGGATTTGAACCCCCATTGAAATCCAGAAAAGTCCTTACTATAACTCAGACTTTTGCATCATCTCAAATCATCCACAGTTGGACTTGTCTTTATGGCCTGTGTGGCGGTGTACCAGGGAAATAAGAAGTGGGTAGCCTCACATTCACCTCTGTGTTGGTGTTGAGTAGCTCAGTGATCCAGAGGTGCCAGCCAGTGACAAATGGCAGTCCAGTGAGCAGCTCAGCGAGGAATATGAGAGCCATGAGAAGCAGCTGCCTCGTGGACAGGCTCGGAAAGCAAGTGTTTCCCACACAGTCTTCTCTGGGGGGTGACAATCTGGGTCACAAAAGCATGTGTGAGCATGTAATCCCTGCAATGCATGTGACTGATTGCAAACCCTTGGGTCTCTGACTCATCAAGTAGTGTAGATTCCCCTTACCACATCAGCTACCGCACCATCACGTGACTGTTCTTTAAGCATACCACTTCTTCCCAGGCCCGATCGCCGTAGCTGTGGGACTATGCTTCCCTTTTCCTGCATGTTAATTCCCTCTGTCTCTGCTGAGATAACTTTCTGTTCTGGTGATAGTGTCTCACTCCATCCTGGGTGAGGACAGCTCGTCCTTAACCTTCACAGTAGGCCTGTTATTACCTAACAAGGATTCCTTTCCTCGTTGGCCTCCTTAGCTAGGCAGTGACACTTGCTCAGAGCAAGGACTGAGTCCTTGTACTTGTGACTCGGACAGTCAGTCCAGATCCTTCCAAGGATCCTGATACTTAAATGGACAACCACAGAAACACGTCTGTGAGCAGCTAATGAATGCACTGTGGTTCTAAAGCTGCTCTGGTTTCAGGTTGTTCTGTTAACAGTTATGACAGGCTCGTTCCAAGGGTAGAGTTCCTTCCAAAGTTAGACGATAAGGTGGTAAGACTTGATGTTCTAGACAAGAGAAACAGGATATAAACTGAAAGCAGACACTAAGTGGAAATATAAGCTCTGGTCACTACCTTTGTAATCAAAGAAAGAAGGGAAGAAGCATGAAGCCTGCAAACAGTGAATATATCCTAACCACCTCAAGACTAATGCCAAAAAGTATGAGTTTTCTCTTTTCTTGGGAAATGACTGACATCAGAAATACAAGTAGGACAAAGATTGTGTCCTGGTCTCATGGAATTCTGTAGCCCAGTTGAGGAGGCAGGTGTGGGTGTGAAAAGAATCATTTCAATCCAGCAGGATCTGTTCTAGCATGGAGAACAATAACACACACACACACACACACACACACACACACACACACACATGAGTGGGCAGCTTAGTGTCACCCAAGCAGGCTGGCAAAGTTGACCAGATAGGCAATGGACCAGAGGGAACAAGCATATAGAATCATGGGTGCTTATAAGTGAGGGGAAGCTGGGCAAGTAGAAGCTCATGCGGACTTCCTAGTTGGAACTCTGAAAGAAGAAATACAAATGACCCCAAGCAAGCCTGGAATATATGCTGAGATGTTCTGATCTCTGCTCTCAGTGTCCCTCTCCTCTTCACAGTGGGTGGGAACCAGACACTCTCATCAGTCCAGTAGGTATTTAGCCAGCAATTGAAAGGTAACCTCAGTGGTGACCAAATATGTGACCAGGACAAGAGAAATATCTGTAGGGGATGGAAAGCCCAGGAGACCTCTGTATGTCTGAGGCCTTCACAGTCATATTTCTACTTATAGTGACTGCCCGAGGAAGGGCTGGACTGGGGAATAAATCTAATGGAGGTGGTACATGTATGGGATAAGACAGTTAGGTCAAGAGGATAGTTACCTGGCCAGTTAGCACTTCCTGCCTCATCCTATCTACAGAGAGAACTTGCGGGGAAGCTATATGCTCTACTGAAAAGGTCGGATGTGCATGTGTAGACAGACAGACAGAAGTGGAGGTATAAATTGCTATATGCTACACTTTCATTGGACAGGGAGAAATCAGAGGGAAGAAAGAAGAAAGGGGTCGGGTATGTAGATAGTTGAGTGGGATAAGCAAACAGAATGTACCCAGCAGGGAGACAGTAGTACTGCCCTCAGGACTACTGTGCCATTTTGTCCAAAAAAAATTTGCCCCTTCCCTGTATGTTTAGACCTTTCTCTGTTGCAAAGACATCTGCTTCCTAAAAACCAAGGCAGAGGAGTCTCTAAGCCCCAACAAGTCCAACTCTGGCTTCAGAAGTCAGCTGTTGCTCCAGCTGTTGCTGCACTTGGCAGGTTGAATTAGCTTCTTGGCTGCCCTCCCTGAAACATGCAGAGACTAAATGTGCATGTGTGTGCGTGCATGTGCATACTACATAGGTGTGCGTGCGTGTACATGTGTGTGCACACATGTGTATTCTTGTATGTGCTAATGCATGTATGTGCACTAGCACATGTGATTGTGTGTATTTGTGTGTGTGTGTGTGTGTGTGTGTGTGTGTGTAGGATCTCTCAACAGAGAGGCCTTGGTGTATCATATTCCATTACTGAGGCTTTACGGATAAAGACAGGTAGGTTTTGTCCTTGGTAACTCACATGGACAAATGTCCTGACTGAACACCTTTGAGTCTAGGTTCTGCTGTCCAGTCCACTGTCCCTCAGTCTTTCAGGAAAGAATTCATATTTACACAAAGACCCTTAACTCTTTCAGTTTCCTATTCTGTGTGGCTTCTCTGCCTGGAGTCTGAGTTTTACTCCTCCTGATGCAGCCTCTGGGATAGCTGGAATTACGGACAGGTGTCACAGTACCGGTCTCTGTGTTTGCCTCTTAAATACCTTGAAATCTGTGCTGGAAACTCCCCCATCACTTCTCCACTGTGTGGAAGGACCCTTCCTACTTCCTCCAAAGCTTCCCAGATGCTCTGCTACTGACAACTTTTCTTTTCCTCTCTTACTCCCCACCCCGCCCCACCAAAGACCACTGTTTCTATTGCAGCTCACTGGCCTTGTCTGGCTCAAGCCCAGGAAACCATGCATGGTTCTAACTACCTTATCCTTACAACTTCCTGAAAATTCACAAGACAATGTCATTATCTGTAGCTAGTTAGCACACACATGAAGGTGCTGTGTAGGGTATAGCATGCTCTAACTCATTTACTCCCCCAAAAAGCCCTAAGACATTGCTGTTTTTCAAAGGCAATTCCTGGCTGTTAGAAGGGTTGGGAGTTTGGGTTTGTAACAAGCTCACTGTGAAATCTGGCTTTGGACTTATCACGGCTGCGTTCTGTGCATTGGACCTACATCAGAAGGCTTCCACTAAGAAGTCTGCTAGACCTCATCCTGTCACTCCTCCAGTTCTAAAGCTTCCAGACAACTCTGAATCTAATAAAAGCCTATTAACACAATGCATACCAATTTGCAACTTGTTTTCCTGTACTTATGCATCATTATCAAAGGACAAGGCAAAAGTATGATTTTTGTTGCAATAAAATGAAAACAATTACAAGATATTTTTAACACACTATGTTTTAAGTAATATGTTACTATCAGTTCAAAGGGGAAGGCAAATTACCATGGATGCACAGACAATCAGAAACATTGAAATGAGTTTGTACAAATGTTTCAAACAGGTGAAATGAGCAAGTACATGACTGTTTTGCATTTCTATTGATAATAATATTGTGTGTTAGTTTCTGTTTTCTGCAACTCAGATTATCAATAACAATGGAAAGTAGAGAGTGATAGGAAGGGTGTGTCTATAACCCAGACTAATTATTTTACCTACTGTAAAGTCTTTTGTGGTTTTCATTGATATTATAAGTATAGTATTTTATTTTATAAATATACAAAAACCATTCCTCATACACATGTAGAAGCTTGAGTTATAAAGATTCAGGTTATGAAGAACCATTTCCCCTTTAGAATAAATGAAATGTACCCACCTGATTCTTCCATTCTCTTTAAGAAACATGTGTCAGAGGAATTTCGCAACCAGGTGCTGTTCCCACAAATGATTCATCTGCTAAGACTGCACTCTTACCTTTAATGCCTGCCACTGTTGCCATGACCATCAATCACAGGACATTACCAGACCGGAAGTCTTGAATCTTGCATTAAATATTTTGACTAGAAATCTGACTTTGTTCTAACAGAGTGTCCTAACATGAAACACATTTACCAAAACTCTTCCAAAGGAGGATATGGCTCTATTTCCAAGAAGCAACCAGTTGCTTCCCTTCCCCAAACACCTGCTTCCTGCCTTGAGATTTGGGGCTCTGATAGGACTAGAAACCGACATTTGCTTATGAAGGGTTCACCTAGTAAGAGGAAGACTGTAACCATGCCCACCCAGGAGCAACATGTTCAAGATGCAAGCCCTCCTGGTCTTTTGGAGGAAGCAGGAGACACAAATTCAAGTTCAGGCTGGGTGTGGTGTACACCTGTTATCCAGCTTTCAGGAGATGCAGGGACAAGGCTATCCGATTCCTGGCCAGCCTGAGCTACATAACAATTTTTAAATTAAAAATTCAAATGCAAGTATGTAGTTTGTGACTTGCAGGAATTTCCTCAAGTGGGCTAGAAAAGGAGCAGAGCACTAATAAAAACCTCCTCACTGAGCCTCTCTCTTAGTAGGTAAATGAAACTAATCTCACAGGGAAATGTGATGGTACAAAAAGAAAAACCTTAGAGTCACCACAGGGGCAATGGTACTTGGATGGTATTTATGTACCGATGCTGGGAAACCATGGAATGAAGGCTACTTCCAAGAGATGTTAATATACCATCAGAACCTCCAGCTTGCTATGGGGTCTGGAAATGAAGCCTTTGGATTCAGAAACAGATACTGGCCACTAGAGTCACTGGGAAGGTGAGGGGATGACAGGAAGTAAGGACAGGGTGGATGCTTGTCAGTCCTGCAGCCTTCTTCCTGCAGCCAACAAAGGCTGGTCTGCTGGTGCCTATCACCCATCACAGGTGTGGCTCAGGCACCATCTTGACATCTACCCTCTGGCTTCTCTTCCCGCTGCCAATTCCTCTGTGTTTCGTGTTTCTAAGCTCATAAAAGGAGAGGATCCAGCTGGTAAACTTCTCCCATCCTGAATCTTATTGGTCAAGGCTTATTTCCCTGGGTGAGTCCACTGGTTACCAGCCAGCCTCTAGGTGTAAGCATTGCAGCTCAGATGGAAAGATATCCTGTGTCATTGCATGTTCATGCCTGAGAGGGTAAGTATGGATTAAGGAGTAGCAGGTAGAAAAATTAAAGACTCTAAAGAAAAGACACAGGAGGGAATCAGAAGGGCACTCCAGTGAACACTGTGGGGGGTTGCCCAAGTTTATTACACACAGTCTTTACATATCCCATCAAAAGTGGGGGAAGGCAATGAGACTTCCTTACCAAGATACAAAGAGCAAGCAATCATATTACCTTCTCAATACCCAAAACATCAAGTAGCCATACCTTAAGCCAAGTATCCTGATTTCAAGGCAAGATACACAATAGCTACACCTTAACCCCAATATCCTGTCGTTAGAGCAAGACACCCATTAGTTTAGCTACATCTCAGGTCAAACATTCTGTTGTTTAACCTTGAGAGATAAATAAATCGTGGGTTTGGACTCTCTGACCTTAAGTCAAGATGAAGTGGAACCGTTTCTATGGGACCCAACAACCCTGGCAGTCAGGAGCCAAGGGAATACCAGAAAGTCACTGTGAGGTCCCTAGGAGTGTATAGGGGAGGGAGGTGGATATCACCACAGATAAAACAGCAAGCGTCCTGATACATGAGAAGTACATGAGAAGGTGATGGAGTCTGGAAACGACAGAGTGTGTTAAGAGGGATTTGGATGCTGGGCTGTGCTGCTGCGAATGGTGTCCTGTGGCTGGTTTGCAACTGCCACTGAGAGTTGACTGTGCCATTTCTTCCCAACCGCATCAGTCTGGTGACATTTCCTAGGTAGCTTCAAAATTGCTGAGTATTCATACCATGGAAATTGGCATATGCTAGAAAATATGGCGTTTCTACTACATATACACCCCGGTACTGTCCCTCCACATAAATAACCCATGAGAGATAAAGCCTGATGACACAAGCCATAAAGCTACCTAGACAGGGAAAATGCCACTCTCGAGTTACTTCACAAAGGCAGATGGCGCAGTTACACTATTATATATGCTATGGCACAAAAACCAAAAGTCAAACAAAGTCATCAGAATGCCTAACCTGAAACTGTGATTCATACACTTTCCCACTTTTCATGCAGTATTTTCCTTTGGTTCATCATACACTTTCCCACTTTTCATGCAGTATTTTCCTTTGGTTCATCCTGATTTAATGTATGCTATACTTTATTCTCACTATTAATTCTGTACTTTCATTTGCCTGTGTCTGTGAATGGAAACCTAAAATGCATGCAATAGGGTTTCCTTACACTAGGAATTGCTGCATCCTTGCTTTCCAGGTACATGTTACACTCAAGTGCGAGGACACTAGCTGGACCCCTGCCCAGCATCTTTACGTTCTCTGAAAGAGCCACCACCTTCTCATTCTCCCTCCTTGTCACACTTTCTTTGTAGTGGTCAGCATTCATTACAACTTATTTTTATTGATTGTTCTTTGTTAAATCCCTGACTCATATGCCAGCTTCTAGGAGCATCTGACACAATGAGGTAATCAAGTGAATAGTGCAGAATGAACCAACCACTCCAGTTAAAGGACTTAGAAACTTTCTAGGAAACAGCATGAGAAAATTAGGTTGAACTGATCCAGCCATGTCTGCTGCTTGGTGCACATTGAGATGAAGTTCTGGGATGGTGGCTAGCCAAGGAAACATGGAATTATCAGATAAAACTGAAACCAGAGCAAGGCCTCTGCACTGTGGGTCAGAGCGACGCAGTCTCAAGTGGGGACCAAAAACTCATTAACATCCAGAACAAAAACATCAAATGGCCATCAAAGCAAAAGGTGGAGGACAGTCTTCACAGGGCCAAGACCTCTGTGGTATATAAATAGGAGTCCTGGTTAGTTTTATGTCAATGACACAAACTAGAGTCGGAGAAAATCAATTAACAAAATACCTCTACAAGATTAGGCTGTAGGCAAGCCATTGGGGCATTTCCTTAGTTAGTGATCACTGGGAGGGCCTGTCCCATTGTGGGTGGGGCCACCCCTGAGCTGGAGGCTCTGGGTTCTGTAGCAAAGCAGGCTGAGCAAGCCATGGGAAGCAAGTCAATAAGCAGCACCCCTCAAAGGCTCCTGCATCAGCTCATGCCTCCAGGTTCCTGTCCTGACTTTCCCTGATGATAAAAATGAAATGGAAGTGTAAGACGAATAAGACTCTTTCCTCTCCGCATTGCTGCATTGCTTTTTGGTCTTGGTGTTTTGTCCCAGCAATAGAGAACCTAACTAAGACAACGGGTGTGGATAATAGTAGTCAGGGAGGGAAGTCTCAGCAGCCACAGTTCTGATAGCAGCCACGCTATCACAGTCCACACTCAATACAGCAGAGCTCTGTCAAAGCCAAGGCCTGGAGCATGATTTTCCAGAACCCAACAGAACAGAGGGTTGTGCCTACTGTGAATCAAGGAATTGGCTCTTCTCCTTCCCTGTTTCTTGTCTTCCTTGTATTTCCAATCTGGGAGTTCACGATGGGTCTGAAGTTTCTTTTGCTGCTGTGTATTTGTTCTGTTCTGTTGAGGCAAGGTCTGAGTGGCTTCAGACTCACCGTGGTCTTTGCTTCTGCACCCTAGAGCTGGGACTCCATGCCTGTTCCACACCTAGACAAACGTGAACTTCTAGTACAGGAAGTGAAATACTCACAACTTCGATGTTTTCCACCCTTTCTTCCCTGAACTCAAACAGCAGATTCAATATGTTGAAAGTCAAATATTAAATATAAATATGTCATTAATGAAAGATATTTGCACAAGTAGGATAAGTGTAATAATTTCCACTAAAATATGCCCTTAAAGATTGAAGGCTGAAATCAGGGACCACAAATACAACAAGTAGTTATTTTTCTGTTTTCTTGTACAACTATATGTTTACATCTAAGTTTTGGAAACTGTCAATATGCTAGCTAACTATACTAATGTTCATTAAGCATTTATTATTCTAATATTAAATGTATTAAATGTAAGTATGCAAAAAAAAGATTGAAGGCTGCTGGTAAAATCAGAAATAGCTTTCAAATCAAGGTAACGTACAGAGGCTGACTATATCCCAGCGTGAGAACAGCATGACGCTGCATTTCAGAAGGATGGAACAATTCAAATATATCAGAACAACATGCTCACTTACACGGCTCTGCAGCAATGACATATGGAAAAGAAAACGTTTTAGGAAAAGACTTTGAAATGTCAGTGGAAATGGAATTGCTAGGCTGTTGGAGGGCTTATATATCCGAGAGGGGGAGTATCCAGATCTTCACGGCCCCAGGTAAAGATATGAAGAAAGTCACATTGACACATTCATTCACCTAATAAAAACTAAGCATCCAGTGGTGGTTATCAAAGAAAATGACCACAAAGCATTTCCTAAAGCATTAGGCATTTTGCCTATTTAATGAATGCCCACCTATCTGTTCTCTTTGATCACTTCCAAAGAGCATCCACGGTTCTTCGGAGCCCATAGTAATGATGTATTATTAGATGATATCCTTTAAATTAAAGAGAGGGCGTCAAAAGAAGGGACTAGTGTGGAGCCCCAGAAAGCCCTGAGGGTTTTGGTCCTCCTGCTGAGGAAAAGGGGGGGTTCTAACACTCCCTCGCAGGTGACTGCTCAGAATTCCCCAGCCTCAGTGTTTTCAGACCCAATTCCATTTCCATCCAGTCCTTCTTAAGCAGGGCTACGTCTGTCCTGTCAACTAAGTCTTCAAATCTGACTACACATCTCCGCTGGCTAATTCTCCCGTTTCTCACAGGTTCTCTATCTTTATGGCATCAGTCTCATAGGAAAAGCCATCTATTAACTGGCTGACTTCATGTAGAGCACCTGCCCTGTGCCAGGCACTGTTCTCACAACGTGTCAGTGAACAAGCACACAAAGGTCCCTAGGAGTATGTGGGGGAGA